CAGCATGGTACTGGTATAACAATAGACACACAGACTAATAGAATAGACTTGAGAGTCCAGAAATAAACCTGCATATCTGTGGTCAACTAATTTTGGACAAGAGTGCTAAGTCCATTCAATGGGGAAAGAAGAGCCTCTGCAATAAATGGTGCTGGGAAAATTGGATTTCCATGTGCAGAAAAATGAAGCAGGCTCATGTTTCACATCACACACAAAAACAAATTCAAAATGGATTAAGAACCTAAATGTGTAAACTAAAAACATAAAATTCTTAGAACAAGAAGCAGGGGCAATGCTGTCAGGCCTAGCCTTCAACAATGTATTATCTAATATAATAACAAAAGCACAAACAGCAAAAGACAAGCTAAATAAATGGGACCTCATAAAAATTAAAAATTTCTGTTCAACAAAAGACTTCACCAAAAAAGTGAAGAGACAAGCTGCCAATTGGGAGAATATCTTCAGAAACCATGTATCCGACAATCTAATAACCAAAATATATATAAAAGTTCAACAACTTAACAACAAAAAGATGAATAACCCAATCATAAAATGGAAAGGACATGAATAGACATTTCACCAAAGAGGACACTGAAATGGCCACCAAACACATGAAAAGATGTTCAGGGTCATTAGTCATCAGAAAGATGCAAATCAGAACCACAGTGAGATACCATGTCATTTCCACTAGGATGGCTAAGATTAAAAAAAAAAACAGAAAATAACCAATGTTAGCAAGGATGTGGGGAAATTAGAACCCTTATTCCTGGTGGGAATGCAAAATGGTACAGCCATTGTGGAAAACAGTGTGGCAGTTCCTCAAAAAACTAAAAATAGAACTACAATATGACTCAGCAATTCCACTCCTAGGTATATACTCAAAAGACTTGAAAGCAGAGACTCAGAAAGACTTGTATATCAGTATGTATTGCAGCAGTATTCACAATAGCCAAAAGGTGGAAGCAACCTAAATGCCCATCAACGGATGAATGGATAAACAAACTGTGGTACATGCATACAGTGGAATACTACTCAGCCAGTAGGAGAGGTGAAGTCTTGATACATGCGCAGTATGGATGGAGCTTGGAGACGTTATGCTGAGTGGAAATAAGCCAATTACAAAAAGATGAATATTGTATGACCTCACTTACATAAAAAGACAAGAAAAGGCAAACGTGTAGAGACCAGAGTTTATTAGTGGTTACCAGGGGCGGGAGAGAAGGGGAAAGAGGGAGATTAATGGTTAATTTCAGCCAACCTAGTGGGAGTGAAATGGTATCTCATGGTTGTTTTGATTTGGGTCTTTCTGATGACTAATGATGCTGAACATCTTTTCATGTGTTTGGTAGCCATTTCAGTGTTCTCTTTGGTGAAATGTCTGTTCGTGTCCTTTGCCCATTTTATGACTTGGTTATTTGTCTTTTTGTTAAGTTGTTGAACTTTTATATATATATATAAATGGTTAATGTGATACCCTTAATCACTTATGTACAACCAAACACCTCATGGGATTTGGTTCATTAGTTTGGAGGTTTAGGGTCATGGTTTCATGGAACATCCCAGTTAATTGGCCTAATAATGTGTTTAGTGCCTCTGTTCTACCTCCTAGTTCGTTATGTAGTGCCTGAGGTCTTAAAAGCTTACGAGTGACTATCCAAGGTACAACAATTGGTCTCTATGCACCTGGATCAACAGAGATAAAAGGAGAGTCAGGAATAGGAGGAAGATATGGAATGTGTGGCTAATTGCCTCTGTGAACAACTGCCTCCTTTGCCATGAGACCAGAAGAACTGGATGGTGCCCAGCTACCATTACTGAACATTTTGATCAAAGATTCCATAGAAGAATCCTTATCAAAAGGGGAAAAATGCAGAACAGAATTTCAAATTCTCATGGACTCTAGACTTTCTGGAGATATGGAGGATAGATGAACCCCTGAAACTATTGCCCTGAGCTAATCTTTAAACCTTAAACCAAAAATATCCCCTGAAGTCATCTTAAAATTTAACAGTAGTTTAGCCTAACCAGCAAAAAAAAAAAAAGTCCGCCTTGAGCATTATGCTCTTTTAAGAACTATCTATATGGGTTCCAGCTGACAACTGCAACTTGAAAGATTAGATAGGAACTTTATGGGGCAGTGAGTTTATGTTAATGAGGGAGGAACAACTCAGAAAAGGAGGGTGAGAATGATTGCACAACTCGAAGAATGTAATCAGTGTCACTGAATTATATATGTAGAAACTGTTGAATTGGTGTACATTTGGCTGCATATTTCTCAACAACAAAATAAAATTTAGGGAAGAAAACAATATACCTTCAGTTCAGTCGTTTAATGGTCATTTAATTCATTTAATGGTTTTTCCATTGCCTAAGGAATAAAGCCAAAACATCTAGTGTGGCAGTCAAGGCCACTCCACAACAGCGGCGTCTGCTACAGCCTGTGTCATGCTACTCTGTTACATATACCCTGTGTTCCAGCCATGGTTAGGTACACACGGTTTGTGGACTCCACACACTATTTTGACATGGCTTTGTACTTTTCTCCTTTATACATGTCATTTCCTTCACCTCAAGAGCCCTTTCAAACCCCTGTGAATTCTTCAAGACTCAACTCAAGCATTAAATTTTCTTGAAAATCAGGGAGGCTTCCATACCAAGTAAGATTATCTGCTCTGTCCTTTATGCCATATTGTAACTTGTGTTCCTGTTGTGGCCCATTATGTGGTATTAAAATTACTTCTTTCTGTTTCATTGTCTCTTGCTAACCTGTGAACTTCTTGAGTGTCTAATAATGTGTCTGTGGGATCTTAGTAACTCACATACCTTATACAGTAGGTTCTCAATAGATAGGTATTAAATGAGCAAAGGATTAGGCTATCTGACTTGTTTAGCAAGCCACAGAGATGCCATTAGAATGTAAGTTTCTCATTCCCAGGCCGATCTTTGGTTATGTTCTATCTCTAAATATCAAGTACTATGGGAGAAGGTTTTTCATAATTTATAGAACATTTTTCGTCTTAAATAAAATTCAAAGACTTAATAGCTTATTTTGTTTGATATCACTCTCTTTTTTGTCCCCTGATTTAACACATGGAATTTCATGATTTTATTGTATCAAAAATAAAAACATCAAAATGCCTCTGTGTTTTTTTTAGGTTTTTTTTTTTTTTTTAATGACTCTGTTTGGAAGAATTATTTTCTGCGATGTATCTCTCTCTATGCTTAAAGCATTGAGAAGACCTCCAAAGTTAATAGCATGGCAAGTATTAAGTTCTTTTGGCTTTAAATATTTGAATTTTCTGTTGACATTTCTACTATCTTTGGCCTTCTTAGATTTGGTATTTATGTTAGTTTCTCAGTGGTTGTATATAAGTGTGACCTTGTTGTATAGGTCTGTGTGATAATCAGATGAGATAATGTATACAGTAGTGCTTGAAAATTGTAAAGTACTATTCAGATGGAATTTATTGTTTTCAATATTTTTATTATCTGTTTACACTCTGGCTGCAAAGCATTTACAATTTTCATGATGATGGGAGTAGTTCCACTGGGAATTTCTCTTTTTGCAACAGCTGTTAGAATTCAAAGTCTTAAGATGGTTGGCATAATTTTTAGTGTGATCAGGAAAACAGATCTTCATGCTGCCTAGTAATTTATAAGTTTAGTTTGCCAATTAAAAAAGGAAAGTACTTTTTATGATGAATGAATCCATGTTGGTGTTAGTATTTTACACAAGAAAAGCCATCATTAATTTCAAAAATAGTAGACAGAAGCCATGGATGACTTAAAGTATTTAAAACATATTTATTTCTGAAATATTATGAAAATGTTGATAAATTTCCAGAAACTGTAGGTTTTAACCATAGAAATATCCAGCATGATTTAACATATTACTTGGAATGTCCATTATCAGATTGTGGGTAGAGCTAACTTTTGTTTTAGAATGGCTTGAAAAGCTGGGCAAAGCCATGGTTCAGAGTGTGTCTTCGGGATTTAAATTCTATTACATTTCATAGGCAATTCACCAACAGTATTTTGCTTTCTTTGTTTTAAGATTAACCTTAAAGTAGTCAGCTGATATTACAACTAATATTTTCACTGGAAAAGAAATTTCCTGCAAGAAACTTATTATCTTTTACTGTGCTAGATGTATGTCCCATCATGCATCAACAAATTGGCATTATAGTTTTTTAAGAGCTGTTTATTTAGCGCACAGTAAATCTACACAGCCTAATCATGCAGGCTGTGCTAAAGCATAGAGATTTACTTTACCAATGAGTATACTTTTCAAGGAATCAAAAGACTGGTCCTAAGTCCATTATGTCAACTATCTTCTTACCCAATGCTAGTAAAATACTGATGCATTCTTAACCTTGTGTCTTCTTTGAAGAGATTCCTTACCTTTATCAGATTTCTGCCATTATATCACACTTTCCTTATTAAGTGTAAGGAATCGCTTTATTCTTTTAAGTTCATTAATTCACAACATATGATGACTTCTCATCATTCCATGGACTTATCCTATCAAGCTCCTCCCTAGTTTTGGGGTCTGTTTCACTGTTAAAGCCTTCAGTCCAGTCCACTTACTTGAGTATCTTTTCTTGATTATACAAAGTTCAAAATAAATTTTTTCTGAACATAGTCTCTATATAGTGGTCATTTATTGAAAAATGATAGCCATAAATGTACCTGGTTTTTACCATAAATTATAACTCCTTTTTCAACCTGTAATTTGTTTTTAGTTAAAGGTATCATTACATCCACAAACTTTAATTGAATATCTGTAGAACTCACAGCTCTGTACTAAACACTAAGGGAATATGAAGAAAAATAAGACAAGCTTCTTGTCCTTAAACATCTTGTGTGAATTCCCATGTTAACTTGATGTTATTACTGTAGCTATTCTTTTTTTTTTTTTGAGTGGGTGGATATTTTCCTATCTGGATAACTGTTTCTTTGAATAACTATCAGCAGCAATTGTTTTATTCTTTGCCTCACAGGTACTACAGTGCAACTATTCTGCAGATGTCTGGTGTTGAAGACGATAGACTTGCAATATGGCTGGCTTCTGTTACAGCCTTCACAAATTTCATTTTCACACTCGTGGGAGTCTGGCTTGTTGAGAGAGTGGGCCGCAGAATGCTTACCCTTGGTAGTTTAGCAGGTAGGTGCCTGGATAAAGAATTCAGTTATAAACTTTTCTCTAATGATAAGTTAGCCTTCCAAAGTACAATACTGATACTGCTTCTGACATTGATTTCTGAACCAAACAGTGTAAAATTAGAATTCCTCTAGACCAAAAGAGTCCTGGTGACGCAGTGGTTGAGCACTTGGCTGCTAACTGAAAGGTTGGTGTTTTGAGCCCACCAGCAACTCCAGGGGAGAAAGATGTGGCAGTCTGCATCTGTAAAGATTTACAGCCTTGGAAACCCTATGGGGCAGTTTTACTCTATTCTTTAGGGTTGCTATGAGTCACCTCAGCAATGGGTTTGGTTTTTGGTTTGATTCCAGACCGGAAAAAAAAAAAAAACTTTAAATCAATGTTACAATATGTGACTAGAAACTAGAATTGTGAAAACAATTTTAATCTACTGAGGGTAACATTTCTCTGTTATTATCTTGAGTTTTGCTCAAAGGTACAAGTGAAAAGAATAATCATTTTTTGTTCTGTCCATAGTTGAAAAACTCAGTATTCAGAAACTTGCTTTTAACGTATGTTATATTTTTAAGTTTGGAACAATATGGAAGTAAATTTGGAGCATTTTTTTTCAAAGCTCTTTGAACAGTGGAAAATTAGAACCATATAATTTGTTCACAAAGCAGGACAGACTTTCTTTGTGTTTGAATGAGGCTGAAATTCCAGGGTAAATTCTGGTTGGATAAGTCTGTATTCTGTGATAGCTAAATAAGGCAAAATCTTTATCACTTTCAAGTTCCTCTTTTGTTTAAATTCTGCCCATTTCATTTATTATTTCTGTCTCACATAATGGCTGTTTTACTTGACAGAATGAGACCCATCTTTACCACTGTCTTCACATGATTGCATCATATAGTTTTCTAATTTTTTTTTTTTCAAATATACAAGCAGATTGCTACTTACGGATTAAGTTGTCCTCTGCTAGCTCCTTTATAAGCTTGCTTGGAGTAGGAATACATTTATATATACATATATATTAAAATATAGTTTCCAGGCCCCATAAGTAAATTTCTGTTTTAACTAAATTATACCTAAAACACTGATCTAATACTGCCTCAAGTACCTGTCCCAGCTTCCAATGAAAAAATACATTCTGAGTGCCAAACTCAATTATTAGGAACACATACCACCCCCCGCCTCCCAACTCCAGAAGGAAGAGTAGAATACTTCCCCCTTCTTGTTCTTGCCTAAGCCGTGGAGGCCCTTGCGTCCAATAATGGGAGTGGAACTATAGTATCAGTACTGAAGAGAAGGTAAAGATTAAGGGGCAAAAGTGATTGTAATAAGAAAGTAGGATGAAGAAGGAAAGGTGAGAGAGAAGTAAAGGTTTAAAAACCATGCATTTTTTAACTGTTGAAGAAACCAGATATGTTTAGCCTGGAAAACAAAAGACTAAAGGGAAACCTGGTAGAGATCTTATTCTAGCAGATGGTAGATGTTATGAGGACATAGATTTTTACTTAATATAAGAAAAAATATTCACAATAATCAGAGATATCCAACAGTGAATTGTGCTGCCTCCGTATGGTGGAAAACTCAACGAAAGGCTCGATGACCATCAGGCAGTGATGTGGTAAAAATGGATTCTGCGGTGGGTTGAAAATTGAATTTGCTGACCCCTGAGGGTCAGGTCAACTCTAAGAGGAAGTAATAGCTGCTTTCAAATTTTTTAAAAGGACATCTTTCATTTTCCATAGGACCTAAAGAGGTGTGTGTTTTAAGTAACTTTTCAATTATGAAATTTGAGATTTGGCTTTTGAGCTCTGGAGAAAATAGCTGTTTTGTTTTTTTTTTTTCCTAGCAGCCTATTTTTCTTCATTTGTTATATTCTTATAAAACACTTTCTTATCAGTTCTGCAAAATGTTGAGGCCGCATAGATTAGCTCCAGAGCTAGACTGTTTAGGTTGAATTGTGTGACTTTGGGGAAGGTTCTATTCCCTCCTATGTAAATGGAGATAATTATAGTTCTTACTTCATAGGATTGTAGTGAGGATTAAGCACTTTTATACATGGATAGCACTTAAAACACTGTCTGACAGAAAGTAAAGTTCTCAGAGCATTTTAGTAATCAGCAGCATTATTATTGCCAAAAATGGCTCTTTGTGGCTTGAGTCATACTGTTAAAAATAGGCTCGCATCATTGTAATTCAGGATCTTTCCTGAACTCTTCCGGCTGATGTCATGGCTACCTCTCAGTGTGGTACCTCTGCCCCAAGGTTTTCCAGAGCCCATCCCTGACTATTAAGAGAAAGTATTAAGACATTTACTTGGGGGAAAGACCAAGAGATTTCAGTGGCTGCTTCTCATGAGCAACCTATGGCAGTTTTCTTTCCTGCTGTGTTTGTTTTTCAGCCAGAACGACCAACACCCAGCTCCATACACTACAGATACCATGCAGGGATTCCTCCAGCTTGAGAGACACCTTCCACTTAAGTCTGCATCTGATTTCCTTGATCATGTGGACAGCTAAAATGATATAGTGGATATTACACTGGCCTAGGAGATAAAAGGCCGGGTTTCTTGTCACAGGTCTCCTCTTTTACCTGCACGTGTTGTTGTTATATGCCTTTGAGTTGATTCCAACACATGGTGACCTTGTAGGACAGAGTACAACTGCCCCATAAGGTTCCCAAGGCTGTAAAGTTTACAGAAGCAGACTGCTACATCTTTCTCCTGCAGAGCAGCTGGTAGGTTCAAACCACCGCCGATCTTTCTGTCAGTAGCCAAGTGCTTAATCACTGTACCACCAAGGCTCCTTTACCTGTACATATAGATGTAAATAGTGTTATTTATTCAGTTCTTGTTATTAACTGTGATTAAATGGATCCCACTAGAACATAATGACCAACAGACGTTTACACCTTCAGAAGAATTACTACGTAACAACTGTTAGTGTATTAGTATTACTCCAGTATATTTCTATCAGACTTAAATACTAATTGTTAGTCTTATTTTTATTTCGATATGGTTTTGTTTTATTTATTTGCATGCAGGTAAATATTTGATATTCTGCTAGTAGTAACCAGTAGAATATGGTTCCTTTTAAATTTTCTTAAATTGACTACTGCCTAGAATTTTTAAAACTTTTCATTCCTTATTTTATGTGTTTACTGATGATTTATTTCATTGTATTGGGTTTAAAATAGTGGACAATATTATTCCAAAATAATTATTTGTGAATAGGTATTCATTCCTTAAAAACTACTACAAATAAATTATAGTTTGCTAGACCTGGACAAAGAAACTATTTATGCAAAGAAATGTAAAATATGTAGTTCATGAATAATTTTAAACATAGAACATTTTGTGGTGTGCTGACTTCCAGTGTTTTCAGAGTTTGCTCAGAGAACTGGACTTTCTTGTAAATACTACATATTTAATGGCAACCTCTTGATTATTTTAATAGTGTAGGGTTTGTATCAATGTTGCTTTATTGGTAATAAATTAGAAAGCCTGTTTTATTACACTGTTTTTTCCAAAAAAAATATTTTAATAGTGGGATATAACTGAGAACGTGGCCCACAGACTGTCTACATCAGCATTAACTGGGATAAAAAAAAAAAAACAACCAAACCCATTGCTGTCAAGTGGATTCTGACTCATAGTGACCCTACAGGACAGAGTAGAACTGCCCCACAGGATTTCCAAGGAGTGGTTGGTGGATTCAAACTGCTGACCTTTTGATTAGCAGCCAGACTGTTAACCACTATGCCACCAGGGTTTCTGGGATACCTATTTTAAAATGTGGAGTCTTGGTGGGGACGGATTACCCAATAAGCAAGGTATACCCGTGCATACCTTGCTTACTGGTTCACCCACCCTTGATTCTTGGACACTCCCCTAGATCTACTAAATTAGAATCTCTGGAGGGTGTGGGGCATATGCATTTTAGACAAGTGATACTTACGCACACGAACTTTGAGAACTGCTGCTCTAGTAGAGTCATGAGAAGGGAAGTCATTATTTTTTATATCAACTGGTTAATGTTCCTTGTAACATCCAGTATTTTTGAGAATGCTATTTATCCAACACAATTCACTTATTTAATTAAGAAAATTATATCAAAATTCTAAAACTTAACAGTATCGTTGGTTAAGAGAGACTTTTCCCTTGAAATGTAAAGAATATGCCAGAACTGCACAGTACACTGGAGAAAATCCTGTCATCCGGGCCTTCCTGTATTGGACTCAAATCTGGGGTGCAGTGATGAATGATTTGACAATTATAATGCTTTTGAATACTAACGTGTCTAATAAAACATCTGTAACATTAAATGAAAGGAAATAGGTAATTCATGGTAGTTTTTGCTTTAAAAGTGTATGGTGTATGACAGGACAGAATAAATTATTAAAACGAGTGTTTTTTTTTTAATTGTATTCCTTAAGTTAAGTCATCATCCCTTCCCTTGAAGAGCTTATAATCTCGAAAAGGTTTTTAACCCTGGCTGATCATCACAGTCACTTGTTCAAGGCTCAGATATATGCACCTCATCTTCTATGTAACAAAGAGTGTAAAGGTGTAATACTTCCCTCCATCAAAAATAGCTTAAAATAAAAATAAATTTGTGATTAACAAGGGTAAGCCTTAGCTATTAAGAACCTTATTATCCAAAAAAAATCGTCCATTCTCCATATTTTGCATGTTCCTTGCCCTCTTTTAGAGATAGATGCAAGCAGATCTATTATCTGTATTACAGAACTTTCATCTAGGATATTTGTACCATGCTAATCCTAAGACCCCCCACGTGTCTGTCAGTTTGTCATACTGTGGGGGCTTGCGTGTTGCTGTGATGCTGGAAGCTATGCTACCGGTATTCAAATACCAGTAGGGTCACCCATGATGGACAGGTTTCAGCTGAGCTTCCAGGCTAACACAGACTAGGAAGAAGGACCTGGCGGTCTACTACTGACAAAAATTAGCCAGTAAAAACCTTATGAGTAGCCCAGAACATTGTCTGATATAGTGC